GGCTTCCTTGACACATGTTGTGTGGACATGATCTCTTGGTTTGTATAGATTTACAGCTAAGAGACTAGTGTGGTTGAATCTTTGTGGTTCAAAAAGAGAATTGCATATTGCGAGACTATAGGCATCTAGTCATTTTGGCATGAGACTTGTTGTATTATCTCCGTAGCATAGGCATGAGCCTGTTGAGACAATATGTGTTATATGTATTTTGGTTTGAGTGGGAGTTGCTACAGTCCCACGGTCGTTTTAGTTGCTCGGATATTTAGTTATACATGTATTTTATTATAAACTGCCGAAAGGGATCCAGATAACTTAACATTCCAGTAGGAGTACCTACTTATGCTTGGTGAAGCAATTGAAACAACATATTGTAATGTTGTCCTCCATAGAATTCAGATATGTGATATTGCTTGACTGGCTACAAAAGAAAGTAGCATGAATAAAGAACTTCCTTAAGCTGTAAAGATACGACTCAAAGCAATGAGGATGCATGCAGATCTTCTACGACAATGAGTCCACGATTCGTGATGCTAATACTGAGGATGTTAAGATGGATTATGACGATGTTCGGGACGAGATTCAAGCAGCAAAGAGAGAGGCTTCATGACTCCCACAAAGGCTACATTTGTGAATTCTTGGTGAAAAGATTGTTGGCAAAAGAGTTTGTCAGGTTATGTAATGAGCATGAGAGAGAATAAGTCAAAAAATGTTTGAGAGAGAGATTGTAATGGGGGGATGAGAATGTGAGGGAGAGATTGTAAGGCCCTCAAAGGCAAAGTGGGAGATGTTGAAGTTATGTGTCTATTTAAAGGCATTATGAGAGCATGTATTGAAATTATATATAGTGATATGTTGGCTCCAGTGGGAGTGTGGTCCAAATTGAATTGTGAGGCATTATTAGTGTCGAGACTCACCTGAGCTTTGACTCCCTATGGCTATGGGTGATGTCTAAAACCCATAGCACTGGGCAGTTTGTGCGCAGCCAATAAGGGTTTTGATATGGGGTTTTCCCCTTATGAGGTCGGAGTTGTACTTAGGATTTGTCTAGGGTACCAGGTGTGATCCTGGTGTGTGATGGTTGGTCGAGCGGATAAGGGCCAAAATCCGCATCATTACCATAACACAGCATATGCACTAGATAGTCTTTTGGGAAGCAGCCCTTTGGGTGAGGGTGTGTGTTGTGTACATGTACTGAAGAGATAACTCCCTGCAACACTAGACTGTGTTGGAAGGATCCATGGAGCATAGTGTTGGAATAAGGCCTGGAATTGTCTTCAGGGAGGGGCTTATAATCCATGGACTAGGATCGTATCTCCTACATTTATTGGCTGATTTTGTTGGTCCAATCATAAACCCCTACAAAGGTTGTGGGTCATGGGAACTATTGGGTTAGTTTGAGAAAGTGCAATGAGATTCGGTTTCGAGAAATGATGGAGTCCTCAGTATATTTGTTATATTCCTAACTCCCTGGATCCAATTCCCATCATATCTTCTTTAATATGTTTTAATTGTATTTTAAATAATTAAAATGAATTTTTAGACCTTTGTGGATATTTTATTTTATTAAAAATCCTTTTTTTGAATTTATTTAATTTATAGAGAAAAATAAAACATTTCATGGATTTATAAAAAATATATATTATTTTAAAATATAATATAGGGTGTGGGGGCACGTTGGGACTTTGAGCCCACCACAAATAAGCCCACTAATTGGGGCGTGGGGCCCACATGGCTATCCATGTGTGGGGCGCCCCACTCCCTTCTTCTTTCCTTTTTGTGTCGCTTGTGTGCTAAGCCACCTTCTTGATTGGAAAAATAAAAGAAAGCATTATGCAGAGAATTTTATTGATTTCAAATAAGAAAGTGTAGAGATTAATTGAAATTGATTTGCAAAAAGATAGTATTCTTTTACATAATATTTGATTGGAACAGGGTTATGGAAATTGTGGGATAATGGTTACACCACATTCTTTTTAATCATGATGGCCTATCTAAAGAATGAATGGATGAGAGCTCTTCACCCCACAGGTGTCTATCATCAAAGGTCAAGATTGAGTCTCATAATGATGGCAAAACCCTAACCTCAAAAACCCTAGCCTCTATATTATAAACATTCTCTGTGGGGGTTATTTTCTCCACACCTTTTGATTAGCCTCTATCTCTCTCTCTGAACTCTAGGGCAGGCATGCCCCTCTCTCTCTCGGTCTCTCTCTCTCTCTCTTTTCTCTCTCAACTTAGCTTTGGGTTTAATTTGTAGAAGGTAGAACCCTAAGGGGGGCATGCCCAAGCCAAAGGGGGCCATGTCACAGTCTATGCGCATTGAGTTATGCTTATGTGCTGAAGCTTGGTCAAAGCACTATCCCATGTTATGCTCTCAAGTGGTTTTGTCTAGGCTTCCTGAGTTATGAGGTGAGTTTAGACCAAGATCCTATGCACTATTTGTAGAGGAAACCCTGTGTGGAGTGTACAAGTCCTTGGAGTTAACCTGATACATGGTATTCGGTATTACTCCATTCAATGCTTTCTTGAATTCATTCATAGTGTTCGATAATTTACAAATTTATGTTATGAATAAGTTTTTGTTTTGATGGCAAGCAATTGAGAATCCTTGGCATTATTTGTGTTTTTTATTGGTTCATATATTGTATTTGGACACTTGTAAATGATCCGGGTGGTGAAAATAAAGAAAAAGAAAAAAAATTTAAAACAGCATACACTTGCCCAAGTCACATAGGCTTGCTTTCATTTGTACCCTAGCTAATTAAAACTGTTGGTTCAATTCCACTAAGAACAAAAGCCTCTACTAATTGATGGTTCCAGTTAATGTGGTAACAAAGACGTAACAGCCGGATTTTTAGTTTCCCAATTCTCATGTGAAGGATTTGTTTCTTTGGTCTTAGTAATCTTACCATTGATATATGTCAATTTCTAACTTCCACCAATGAACATTTTTGCAAACTATGACCACTCTAAATAATTTGTTGCATCATGTTTGATGGTTTGCAGGACGGGGTTATCTCCGTGGATACCTATATAGGAGGTTACATCTGGTATACTAGTAAAGGTGGAAGAATGGTCTAAATCACTCATATTCGACACATTGACCACAACACATACTGAAAAGCACCAAGGAGATGCTGGCCAACACATCCAGTCACTCAAATATACTTTGAACATGGGCCCGAGATCTCCCACTTTACTTATCTCAAAAAAAAAACTAAGTTTCACAACTCAAAAACAAGGATGTGATCCATTTAAGGAGTCCAGCAACTGATTTTAACACCATCAAGCCACACCAACCAGGCCTAGGGTTTCTGATCTTGCATCAAAACTCAATGAAGCAACCTTGGAATTAGGGTTTCCCCATTCTATACCTTTTTTCCAGATCTAGGATTTTATACCTCCCATTATTCTGTCAAATCTTGTGTTTCTGGCTGTACAGCTTTTGGAGACCTTTACACAGCCAGATCAAATCTTTAGGGTTTCAGAAAAACCTCTTGGAGCAACATTGCTCTAATACTGAATTAAAGGTACAATACAAACCAAGGAAAGAAGAAAGGAAAAAAAGGAGAAAATGGAGAGAAACAAAAAACATTGTTAGAGAAATAGAGAGGAAGGAGAGAGACTTTGAGGGAAGAAAGAAATAGAGAGTCACATGGGGTCAAGTTTGACCCCCATGCACCTCTCCACTATATTATATTATTTTATTATGTACAAAAGTGCCCTTTAAGTGAAAAAAAGGACAAATAAGTCCTTTGGGTCTTAAATATAATTAAAAATGAACTAGGAGCTTTGACTATCACTTTCACACACAAAAAATAAAGAGAGAGAAAAACGTACTTATGCATTTTATCTTGCCACATATATTATAGTGCATTATATTAAAAGCCTGCCACCCAGCCTGAGGCAGCACCTTGAAGTGGCCTGTGGGCCAGCTGCCTTGTCTCAGCTGAGGTGATCCCCTCTTAGTGGGCCGGCCTTTTTTGGGTGCTTAGGCACCATTGATGCAGGTGTCAAACGTCTAACTCTGAGTGCCTGCCCTTGTGCTGAAAATTCCCTTAGGTAAGGGGCAAACCTGTCGTTTCCTCCTGCTTAAAGGGGGGAGAAGCATTAAGAGTGGATGTTATTCGTGTCCCCAATTTTCGCCTAATCCTAGTTTTCCATAGCAAACTAACACGATTAAAAAAAGGTAGTTTTGTCATAATGGGGGAAAATAAAAATTTTACACACTCACATGCATGCTTACGTATCAAATATGGCACATATCAAATATGGACAGGGGTTGTATGGAGACGATGTTCTACCAATTCTCCATACCTTGTTTGTATCTATGATGCAAGTGTCGTGTATCATGATGTTCTACGATACAAGTGCAAATGATGCACGAGTAGATGCTTAATGTGCCTGATTCAATATCGATACTGATATTATATACTGTTAGGTACTAGTAACTATAAAAGAACATAATTATTAAAATATACAATATGAAAAGAATATAACATTATGCATTACAATATGGTATGTATGCTGTAAACGTGTTGGATACATGTCGCTATATTATGCAAACACGATACCAGTATATGTTCCCTTGTCCTTGAATTGTAGAAATGCCAAGTCCTATCCATATAAACATCAGTATCCATACCTGAGCATCTTTAGTTTATGTCCTAGGTTACAAAATCAGCAAAGCAATAGATCCTAGGATTCTTTCTCTTTGTCTAGATAGATTAACAATGTAATTAGAGGTTCTATCTCTTAAGGGTCATCTACAACTTCCAGAAGTTGTGAATATAGTTTCCTAGCAATCTTATATTGTTCCTGGATTGATTTGGACATATAACATTCCTGCATTGATTTGCACATATAAATAATAATGTCTTGTGGCTGAGTAATTTGGTAACTTAGAAATTCAATATCCATAGAATTATCGTTGTTATGTTTTTCTTTGAGCTTCATCGCCATTTCTTTCCTTATGACTCTTATAACTCCTTCCCTCCCAGAACTTTTTCAGAATATCACCAGGATTCTGCTTGGCTGATGGGCTTGCCTCACTTGCGCTTCGAAGACAAGGAATGAAGTCTGAATCTGGCGAAGGAACTTTTGACTGGAATGTGACTGGTGCATCCATCTGTTACTTAGGACTTGAGGTTCATTTCCTACAACTGGTGCTACTATTCTTTAGAGATCTGTGTGACTATCTGTGGTTTCCATTCATATTACAGTCATGGCGTGGCTTATTGTACTGATTTTAGTTTGCTTGCATTAGAATTTTTACTGGATAATGCATTATTTGTATCTTGATGCTTAAGGATTCTTTTCAATTCTCTCATGATACTTAGTATTCATTGATCGATACAATCTTGCTGCTTGAGTTTCTATGAAATGAAAAGTGGCACATTCAGATTGTTCAGAAATGCTCAGCACTATTCGCTTGTGGAGTTTTGTATGGGAATTTCAAATATATGTTAATCTTTACTTTAATTCTATAATTTTATTTACCACTAGTCAATTGGAATTTTACTATCTTGATCTTCCAACTGCTAGACCTAGTTACTAGCTTCGGGGTGTGTAGCTCTTATCATTTGTATGGTACAAATACCTTAATGTCGGTATGTTGTGTCTTGGTGGGATTTATTCCAAGTGCTTATGATGATCTCATTTTAATAGACTAGGTTGAATATTCTAGGTCTTGTCGGCATGAACTGTCTTGAGGAAGATGCCTAGAGCTCCCATATCAGCATTTGGAATAGGTTGAAAAGAATGATCTGCATAAGGATTTTGCGTTTGGTTCAAAATTCAAAACAATAGTAATTGAAACACCCAGTGAATGCTTATAGGAGCGGGCTCATAGTGTGAGCAGAGATGAGTACTTATCAGAAATGGTCTAAAAACAACTGTGGAAGCCTAAGTTTGGGAATGAGGACCTGTGGCTGCATTCATGATTGCTTAAAACTAGGATTATGTGCAGCACTCTGGATTCTAACTATCAAACTATAAATAGAGCATGAGTAATGGGGACCGTTCTAAACAGTGTCATCCCCTTATAATTTCCCCTGGTCCGATGATGGGGAACAATCAGTGACAAGCAGTGGTGTCCATAGTGGATTGTCCAATTGAACCTATTAGGTGCCCATGATGGATACCATCTCTAATCTCTATTGTCCCATTTCCAGCCATGCATGTGCCACCTTTCAAAAGCTTAGCATTTCATTGATAGTTTTATGTTACTAGCCTTTAGTATGATTGACTGAAGAAGCCTCCGTTTAGAGATTCTATGCTTATTCCTTCAATAGCCCAAAAGAGACGAAGGAGCTTTAAGTTCGAATGTTAAATAGCCAAGCCCAACAGGAGTTGTTATACAAATTCTCTGGTAACAGCTATTGCTGGGTTTAATCCCATGTTGATTGCTTGTAATGATGCGCTAGAATTGCTTTCTAAGTGGGAATATTCCTTGGACAGTTTCATTTTCAATTTCTTCTCTATGGGGCAACCTTGTTCATTTTGCTTAGAATTTGAATCCTTTCTTCTTTTATAACCTTGTTCTTTTTGTTCCTTGTGCACTCTATATTTGTAATACGATATAATGATAACACAGAGTAGAATCTATTTTGATTTCCAAAGATTGACTGTAGATGACTATATTACTGATAGGATTTCTGAAAAGAGTTGTGGTTATGACTTACATTTTCATATTTATTGTGTGATCTATGATATTATAGCATATCGGGTGTAGTGGTATAAAAATGCATTTGAAGTTTTGCACATCCCAACTAGGTTACCCCCTTCTTCCCCTAACAGTGGAATGGCAGAAGTTCATAATGGCAAACTATAAACCAAAAGACTCCAGGAAAATTGGTGACTTTTCTTTTATGCTGATACATCCTCCAAATTTTTGTATAATTAACATTAAAAGACATTCATCCAAATTTTTGTGTAGGTGCCAAGAATTTTGTAAATTACTATAATGCAACCTTATTTTCTGCATTTCGCCTTTTGTACAAATTGTCCCAGATTTTTGTATGGGGGTTAAATGCATGTAGCAGCTTATTACTTTAATATGGTCAAATATTCTCAAAAAATGGAAATTTTTAAGAATGCCGTAGAATGATTTTGGCCACTTATTAGCCAGCCTAATAAACTGGTCTAAGAAGGATGAGGACCTTAAACTTTTCCTTAACCCATCCCAAGCCCGGTTAAAGGAGGTGGATTGTGTTAGGTGGGCAGCCAATATAAAACTTTGCCAAAACATTCTATGAATCCTGAATCTACGTTATTTAATTTACCCTAAATTTTTTTTTTTTTTTTAAAGGTAGTTTATCCTAAATAGTTGGGAAAATGCACTGATGATGATGATGATTACGATGATTAGCCAACCTAATAGATGGATATAGTTTTTTGTACCCAAATCACACCTTAAAGATTAATCTTTAGATTAGGAGTTAATACCACATAACATGGAATCCCAACATTTGCGGATTGCTTAAAAGTTGTGTATTATGGACCTTGGAAGCATGGATATTTTATCAATGGTACCAAATGTTGGAAACGGTTATCCTGTCTTGTGCAAGGTAAAACTCTTTGCGGAGTATTATCAAACTTCGTATTTTTTCTCTTTGAAAAGTTGGATGGCTACCTCCATCATGCGATGGTGGGAACTCAATATTATTGGGACTTCAAAGAGTAAGCTTGTTGACATGGTGCTTGGAGGGTTTTGCAAGATTATCAATTCGGTCCTTGGTGGCTTATCTCATCCTCTGGTCTTTCTACAAACATTAGGGGGATATATTGGTGTTTCAGAGTGATCTTGTTCCTATTAGTCGATGTTGACTGTTTGTTACCTGTAGACATTGGACCGTATTTACTAAGGAAACTCCTTAAGAGTATTATTTTTCCCATTTCTGGTGTTCTAGTATCCAGTACCTGAATGAAGCCGTCTGGGGATGTTTCTAAGAAACTCACACGTACTGGTCTGGAAAGTATGGGTTCTACCATTAGCTACTGAATACTTCTATCCATATGTGCTAGAAACTCATAAAACTAAAAAATGCGATCAAGTTAATTGTAAGCATTATTATTTATATTTTGAAAGTTAAATGTAAAACTTATAATCTTTTATTTTGAATGAATTGATAGTCGTAGTGTACTGTTTCGACTAATTACCATTCTTGGTAATAAGTACTCATTGATGATGTTCCAAATACAATACAGAGTTCAGATTCTATATAAACCCATTCCATACTTCTCTAGAAATTGTACCTTTGTGCATTTTCATAAGAGCTTACCTTAATCTTTTTACACTGTTGCATACTATGTACCAGTACCATTAACTATGATTTAAACTATAAAGAAAAGAAGCGTTCAGTGGAAATGCGGCCTCAGTTTTCATTTTTCCACTAATTTGTCGTGGAAAGTTGTTCATTGGAGTGATATACTTGCTCAGGAAGAAGATCATGAGTGCTGTAACCTATTACAGTATCCTTTCGATGTGAATCCGTCTCACCATTCCTATTAGGTTTTGCTTCTTGCACCCTTGAGGACATGGGTAGGTTTCCTGGGTAAAGAGGAATATGGATTATTCTTTTTGATGTATAGGTAGTGGGTACTTTTCCTAAGGAAGAAAAGGAGAAACTCATCCTGACATTTCTTGTAGACATAAAACTGATAAGAGAAACACTAACTCTTTTTTGCCATTCAATACTTAAGATAAAACGTTTTTAGACATACGAGTGAGTCCAAGTATTTAGGATGGCATGGATATCTCATTGATTGGCAGGCCATTTAATATGGTCTGCACACCAGGTCATGTCTTGCCATGATGTTCTTTTATCATTGATTGACAAAATTCTAAATGGTGAATAAGCTGCTTATCAAGTCACTATCTTTCTTCCTGATCAACAGAGCGTCCTATATTTTGTATGTACCATTGGGCTTGAATATTTCTCATCCCACCAGTTAAGCTTCTGTACAATCAAGGGATGGTGGACAAAAGGACCAAAGGCATTCAGCCACATTTTCACGTTTAAGAGTATATCTGAGCCCCTGATTGAATCATTGTTGGGAAGTCATGCTTCAGGTTCTAGTGAGGAAGATGCGGATGTTCAGGCAGAGAGATTCAGAGTCTATTCTGGTGCTGCTGAGAATAGCATAATATATTTACGTGATCTTCACAAGGTACTTGTTTAATCAACTTTCTGATGAAAGTAACAAATGTTACTTTACCAATCTCAGAAGGAGAACAATCATATTCCTGTCTAATTGAATATTCCATGCTATTTCAGGTGTATCATGGTGGAAGGCTTAACACTTATAAAGTTGCTGTCCATTCTCTTACTTTCTCTGTTAGAGCAGGAGAATGTTTCGGCTTCCTTGGACCAAATGGTGCAGGGAAGACAACAACTTTGTCAATAATATCTGGTTAGCTTATCTCCTTTAATTGCAATGTTATATGTAGTTTCTGGTCAATCCATTGACTACCGTATTATTCTATTATATTCTGTCTTCATGCTTTCATGATGCAAAGAGGATGTTTAGAACCTTATCCCGAGATATTTTGAAGCATATTCAGTTCTAATCCATCTAGAACTTTGACTCAAATCTTATGTTTGAACAATTCAAGATAAATTAGGAGGCCATTCTCTCACAAAGTGATAATTTGAACTTCTAATAAAATTATGACTTAGGTCAAATATTCTAGTTAATTTGAAAATCACTAAGATAATCATAAAAAACACAACCAAAATGAAAGGAGTGGCTATGTGGAACTCAAGGTATTAAATTCAATTTTTTTTTTATTCATTATACCTTAATTCCACTTACATGGGCCACTAAATATTGCTGTAAATAAAAAATAATACTCTAGATATAACCTAAGATTTATTTTCACTACTAAAAGAAATAGAAACTATCCAGGAGCTTTAAACAAACTTTCGCTATAATTTTTAGTACAAAACACGTTCCTAAAAATTCACAGAATATAAGAAATAATACTAAAAATTAATCAAAACTACTGGGAAAACTTATTGGAAGATACCTAAAGTTATTACCCTCACAGGTTATGGTACATCTCACATCTAATTCCTTAAACAATGGGGTACTGTTACTCCTTTAAGTATTGCTGCAAATTCTGAGATAGGGAAGATTAGTAAGCAATACTTCTTTTTCTAGAGTTTTAAAGAGCTCAAAAATCAACTATGGTTTATAGAAACCCTATGGGAACATACTAGGGCTGAACTTGTGATACAAGAAATTAGAGGGAACAATAAAATCAGTAAGCAACAAAGCCAAACACAAGCATAATTCAAAGAAACCTAGGGTTTCTTCTCCACCCCCAAGCTACGGTTCCAAAAGCCTTGACTTTCAATTTCTAAAAATCATGTGGAATTATGAGCCCCACAATACCCCACGCACCTCTTATATATTTTAATTTAATGTTGCAAGTACAAAAAGTGTCCAAACAAATAATACATTGACCCATATATCCTAACTTAAACTTAAATTTCATAATGGCAGTTTTAGCCCTTTGAACAGTACCCATGAACAGTACTCGTGAATAGAATTTGTGAATAGTTCTTATGAAGTAAATAAAAAAATAAAAACCTTGAAAGTTTTAAAAACTAAATCCCTAGAAATAAACCGTAAAACTAAAATTGTAATACGCATCTTTTGAAATTGAATAAAAACAAAAAATAAGGATAATTATTTTTCCCCCATCATTCTCCCCTGGTTGGAGAAAACTCGTCTTGGAGTTTTGAAGTGTGCTAATATGAAATTGGCGTTAGTCTGGCAACATTCTTCAACTCAGATATTGTAAACATGATTCTGGGACTTGTGGGTTACTACACTAATCAAAACACAATGATTGTGCATTAGAATTGAGAAATCCTCGAGGAAAGGGTCATTGTATGTCGGTAGAATATTTTAATCACATAATTTTGTTGGAATTGCATCACTTCAGCCATGTAACCTTTCTGAATTTGCCCAAACTTAGCTGTAGAACACACCCCAAGTGCATCTTTGAGATCAGCACCTAAAGCAACACCTTCACCTATCAATTCTCCTTTGAGTCCTTCGTCTTTTTCCTCGTCAAATACCAATTCAACCACAAAATCTTGATCATCATCGTTGATTAGATCTCCTATAAGATCTTGTTCGTCATCTAAGTAGCATCGAAGATTGGTGGCAGATCCCAATCTATATCCTATTGATTTTCAAGTATTAAAATCAATAATCTCATCCCCCAAATCAAAATCCCTAGAGTGATGTTACCCACATCTAGGTCTTCTGTCACTATCTTCATCACTCGACCCCCCATGTGCAGCACAAAAGTGAAAATGCTTGTACTCAAGATCCTCTTGGGCTGAAAGATCACCGTCTTGCCCATTATTGAGGTTGCAAACTGCTGCCCTAGCTGTTGTACTTACCTTTCAAGTACCTCAATTATGTCATCTATGGGATCATGGAGTGGATCTACAAAAATCCCCCTTCTACATCCCCTTCTCGCTACCATGGGTTCGCCGAAATCACAAACCCTAGGCAAATAATCAACAAAAATTGTTGAAAGCAGCAAGATCTAGGTTTTCTCAGTAAACTTTGGTCAAAAACAACAAACCCTAGACCCCCACTGTAACTTCCCCGCTTTGTTGTTGACCTAGGGCACCAAAAAATAGGTGTTGTTGTAACTCCTATTAACAATTTATGGACACTACTGCCATTGCTTAGAGAAATAAGACAAATAAGTCCTAAACAAAGATAAAAGACAGTTCTTCCCATCAACTAAAATAAAGCTTAATTCTTTTATTTCCAACATTTTAGTGTTAACTCACTACGAATGTTGCTTCTTTACTCTGCTAATTTTATCCTCTATGATTGTGCAGGAGAAGAACATCCAACTGAAGGAACTGCATACATATTCGGGAATGACATACGTTTACACCCGAAGGCAGCTCGGCGACATGTATGAAATGAGACAGTTCAGACGCTTTAGTCATATATAGTTTCAGATTTGTATTGTAATGTAGGATCTTTGTCCTTATTTTCTTTTGTTGTTATAGGTTGGTTACTGCCCACAATTTGACCCTTTGATAGACTTTCTCAGTGTCCGAGAGCATCTTGAGCTTTATGCCAGATTGAAAGGTGTTCCAATAGATATAACCAATAGGGTATGTATAGCTTCTTACATCTCTTGTAGTTATCTACATTAATCCCCATATATGTATTTTATAACTTGTTCAAGATGTTTCAAATGCTTTTATTAACTTTCAATAATAATTGCACCTCAGGTTGTTATGGAAAAATTGAAAGAGTTCAATTTATTAAAACATGCTGATAAAATATCTAGCTCCCTTAGTGGGGGAAACAAACGCAAATTGTCTGTTGCTATGGCAATGATCGGGGATCCTCCTATTGTAATTCTTGATGAACCTTCAACAGGTATTTCCAAACAAGATTTTATTTGTGCTTTGTTATTAAAATTATCCATCTTGAGATGCTACTCTATTTGTTTGGGCCTATTTTGTTGCTAACGTGATAGCATATATTTTAATCTTCTTGATTCAAGTCACAAAAAGTTTGGTTTAGTATGAAAGATCTTTCCTTGTTGCTTTTTACCTGTTGTAAAACATAGAAGATTTCAGTAATCTTTGGCATTTCAGACTTCGTTCTTTGAATGTTGAGGATATCATGAATGAATGACTAACCGCTAAATCTTCCTTTGATAATATGCCTTTATGGGGCAAACTTGATCTGCCCCGTGTACCAAATGGTCTGCCATCATTTTCAACTTTGAAACGGCATGGCCAATGATACTCAGTGTTACCTCATGGGGATATATTCTCTGTAAGCTCAGCTTGTGCTCATTGCATTTGAAGCAAGCGTTTTTTCAGTTCAAATGGCATCTCTGTTTGTTTGTGAGATCCCTCTAACCTTCTTACTGATTAAATGTAGCAAGCAACATTCTTATTGATGTACCTTTAGGCTCACTTTCTACTCTTGCATCAAGGGAATATCTCTGATTTCGAAGCTATATGGAAATTTCATCATTGTAGATCATCATGATTCATCTACCGCTCGTTAACCTGCAATTTTCTTTTTTGGAGGATATCTGGATCAAGCAACTTCAATAGGTGTTAGCTCCGAAGCTTGTTTTTCCTTCCAAGGATCTCAACATAGTGTAGATACTACGATCGTATGGGAGCATTTAAAAAAATGCACAGTATCACAATTCCTTACAAGTCAAAGCAAGATGTCAACTTACTTAAAAACATTTTATAATTTACAATCCCATTAATTTGTAATAAAGCGACCAAATATTGAAATACTCATTTATAACAAGTCCTGAATTATGCATTGTTTGTGCTTTTGGGTAGCTTTGCAACTCATAGACATCCAAAAGCAGGCTTATCAATTATTTGTGTGACATTTTTTTGAATTCTCCAAAGTGGCAGTGAGAAAAAAGTGTGCCTTTTGATTGGTATAATCAGCAAATCTCCAGCTTTCATGGGGTATTATGTTGGAGGGTTACACTGGGAGCCACATGAGCCTATCTGATGCTCACCATGTGCTGCAGCACATGCTTAGGTGCCTGCATAGGGACGCTGAGATTTTAACTGTGCTTAACTTGCCTTTCGTAATTGAACCTGAGCCATGTTTGTCATCCAAGTATTTATCAAGACTTCATTTGATTCTGTAGTGCCATGAGTAGTTTAATCTGGCACTTCATGTTAGTTTGGATGACCCAGGCCTTTGTGAGATGTAGAATGCATATCCAAGCTAGTAGCCAATTGTTAGGCCACAAAGTCATTTTTTGTAATATATCTTACACATTTCATCTTGTTCTGTCTAGAATCTTAGCAGCAAATAATCTACACATTGCATCTTGTTCTGTCTAGAATCGTAGCAGCAATAATCTTACAGGATATTATAGGCAGTGTATTTTTTGTGATATTATCTGGTTGCTCGTTTTTACTAGGAATTTACCGCAAATGTAGGGGACTTTAATATTTTAACTATTTTAGAGCTCTTTTTAAATAATCCTTCTACTTTAGACTACAGAACCATGCTTTTGACATAGTTACCCCTTTGTCCCCATAACAAGAAAATACAACACTGTTTATCAAAATTGATAACATTTCCCAACCTGTCTATCATTATATTCCTAAACAAATCTCTCGAGAAAGGTTGCTTGAATTAATTCCATCTACATGGGTGACAAATTATGAAACTCTTCAAAATCAATGTCAGCCATTGATGCAATCGGATTCTAGAATGATTAGAATGCCAAAGGGAACTGTGCAGATAAATTTTCAAAATCAAAGGATAGCTGAGCACCAAACCAGAGAAATATTTCCAACCCAATTTCATGGATTGCTTGAAAAAGTCCTTGTTGTTGCTTTTGATAGAACAGGAAAGCCAGTTTATGAACAAAAAACTTCTGATGGCCATAACTGGTTTGATACTTGTGATTGCTCTACTTGTCTTGAAGAAGTTTTAGATGATTTTCCAAAAAGAAAAAGCAAAAAGAAAAAATCATCACAACAAAATCTTCATCAAAGATATATGGAGGGTGATCCATCTGTTGGTTTGCTTGGAGAAAGTTTAGGAAATGGGATTACTATGTGACATATGCATGTTCAAATCAAAAATCCAAATTCCCTGTTTTAGAAATAGTTCCTTCAGGATGGGATGATGCAGAAGATAAACAGATTCCAAACTGTTTAGCTTTTGATCCGCGAAGTTCAAATTATATCTCAAATTTTCCTCCTTTACATGATTTTGAGAGACCCCAAGAAAATGAAAAGCCTGTATGGAAAATTAAGAATCCCAATGGAAGAGACAACACTGGTTTACAAAAGTCCATTTCTCCAGCCGAAGCTCGTATAAATTGGCAAGCTGAGAATGCCAAATCTCAGAATTTAGTACTTCGGAGCGAAGAAAAGCAAAATGCAATGTCTACCCAGATGCAGGGATTATCAGGTATAATAGTTCAATTAAAAGAAAGAATTCAATTGTTGCATGAAGAATTGATGCATATCTTGTATACAGTAAAAGATATCAATGAGCAATCTTATTTGCTAGTTCAAAGAGGACAAGAGAAAACCTCCTTGGAAAAACAACTTCAAAGCCTTGAAAAAGACCTTTGGAAAACGCAATATCAATCCCAATATCCTCAGTATCAATACCAATCCCAGTACCAACCTTTGTTACCAATTCCACATACCCAGGCTTATCCCACTTTAAGAAATCCAGACCCTTTTCCTCCCACGAGAACTCTTTACCCAGCCACTGGTCTCATTTCTCCCAGAAATTATGGTTTCAGACCATTAAAGACATTTGTGCCGGAAAGAAAATTTCCTGAAGCAATGTTTTTTCCCCAATTAAGAACAAACCAAGTATGCACACCCCATCGTCATCCCAACATCCAATTCCCAGTCCCCAAACAACTTCACCACCAACCACTGTCCATCCTTCTACTGGTTCCCAAATACCAAAACAAGAAACCCAAATGTTTCAAAATTATGACACTGAATCAGATGTTATGGCCTCTTCTGTTCCGGCTCAGATGAATGTTCCCTCTAAACCCTTAAATGATATGAGTTCTTTTCTTAAGAACTTAACAAAAGAGCTTGAAGTTAATCTTCAAAATGAAACCCGCTCTTCAGATGATATGACTGATACATCTGAAACATTCGTTGAAGATACATCTTCTTCTTCTATGGATTCTGAATCCTTATTGATGATGAATCCTCCAGAAAAGCCACCTAAACCTGACCCTTTAATGGAAGAAGACCTCAGACCACCTAACCACCAAGAACCTCAACCGATCCCCACATATGGTGACTCCTCCAAAGGCTTTACAATTGATGACATTCCACCATCTCGATGGAATGACAGATTTAGAGAAATCCAAGGATGGATGCATTTTGAAATGCTCAATCTGGCTAATTCTTTAGCTGGTACAATTTCTAAAGTCATTGTTAGGTTAAGAGGAAGACTTTTTGATTGGTACATAAGTCTTGGAGAATACAGGCAAATGCAGTTGCGAAATAGTGAGTCCATTATTGAATTTCTTAATTATCTTGTTGCTGAATTCTCAGGCCCAGTGAAACATGAACAAATCGTCGCAAGAGAAGAGTTTTTTCAACTCAAATATTGTTCATTTAAGAGACAAGATCTTGAAAAACACTTTTCAGAAATGAATAAGAGGTACCATAAGATAGGAGGAATTGATGATGTTAACCTAAAACAATTTTATCTTGAATCTGTACCTCCGACTCTTGGCAAAGAAGCTACAAAGACTATGGAAAACCAGGGGCTTACTATTCAAAACACCAGTTTTGGTGAATTATATCAATATGTTCTCCATGCCTTAGAAAGACTGTGCAACCAAGTTGAATTTCTCAAAGAAATGGAAAACAATAAGCAGCTATTGGGAAAATCTTGTGATAAACCATATCTCGAGATCAAATGTAATTCAGAAAAACAGTGTGTTTGTCCACCTAAATGGAAAGATGACAAAAACCTCAAACACTGAAGAAAAAAGAAAAAATACAAGAGATTTAAATTTCTCAGAAGATCAAGGTTCCAGAATTTTAAACACAAGAAAGGAGATAGATGCTATGTCTGTGATCAAAAGAGACATTTTGCAAAAACCTGCCCTAATCAGAAAAAGAAGAAAAAGATTATCCACCTCCTTTCCCAAGTTCTGGATGAAGAAATTGATGATGATTTAGAATATGTGTTCTCTCTTGATGATGAGCAGACTTCAGAAACCCTATTGTCTTTGCATATTCAGACGACAATGAGGTAAATGAAATAAGCAACACTCATATCTCAGGGATATTGTCTTCACAGGAAACTCATGCAGAAATAGTCAGTTTACCCTTTCAGCCAACCCCAATAGCCTTGGTCTAGATACTTCCTGAACACTATGCAAAACTTTTATCCATAATAGCCTTTTTTATACAAGAGCATCAGCTAGTATCTTAAAACCAGATTTACTACCAAAACAGTGTTGGGAAACATGCAACCAAACTTTTCGAGCTGCTAATGGTGAAAAATTTACAATAAACCAGATTAGCAAACCCATTTTGATAAAAAAATTTCCCAAACTTGTTATCCAGCACAAACTGTTAGGATCCCATTTGCCCAATAAAGAACTATTGCTTGGATTTGATGTCCTACACCAGGTAAAACTTCAATGGACCTCCAAAGGATTACATTATAGGAACCTAACCTTACCCTGGATTGCTTCATTAGACCAACCTCACAGTTTAGAAGCCATTCAACAAAAAATCTTGACAGACTGCTGTGCAAATTCCCATACTGAGTTTCACAAAAATGCAAAAACCCTCTTTGGAGAAATCAGAACTTTTATGTCAAACTACCTTTCAAGAATAATGAGGACATAAATCCCACAAAAGCTTCTCACATAGGTTTAAATCTTGATCTTTTGGAACAAGCTAAACTAGAAATTCAAGATTTGCTAAAGGAACAATTGATTGAAACTACAAGTTTTCCTTGGGCTTGTGAAGCCTTTTATGTAAATAAAAGAGCAGAACAAATCAGAGGAAAACTTTGGTTAGTAATCAATTATCAACCTTTGAATGCTTTTCTTGCAGATGATAAATTCCCTCTGCCAAACCAAACTGCACTATTTTCTCAAATTTCTCATGCACACATCTTTTCTAAATTTGATTTAAAATCAGGTTTTTGGCAAATAGGAATCCATCCAGATGATCGTCTTAAAACAGCTTTTGTTTACCAAATTATCATTTTCAATGAACTGTCATGCCTTTTGGTTTAAAAAATGCACCTACATATTTTCAAAAAGTTTTAAGCAACATTTTTGAACCAATCTTGACGCAGGCACTAGTATATATAGATGATATACTCCTATTCTCTCCAGATCTTGATAGTCATATACTTCCATTAGAAAAATTCTATTCCCTGTGTTGTAAATATGGCATTACGCTTTCTGAAAAGAAATGTGTTTTTGCTACGACAGAAATTGATTTCTTTGGTATGCATTTCCATAACGGAATGTATAAACTCCAGCCTCATATAGCAAAACACTTACTAGAATTTCCAGATATTTTATCTTCTGTAAAGCAGATTCAACAATTTCTAGGAATTGTAAATTATATGTCCCCTTTTATTCCAAAGCTTGCTCTCTTCACTAGTCCACTTTATCTCCTTCTGAAGAAAAAAGCACCACCTTGGACAAAAAAACAGACTGAGTGTGTTCTTGAGCTCAAAAGACTTTCTCATAATCTTCCTTCTTTAAAAATCCCATCTAAAGGAAAAAAGATTTTACAAACTGATGCTTCGGATGAATTTTGGGCATGCACCTTACTTGAAGAAAAAGATAAAGAACGAATGATTTGTGGATATAAAAGCGGAAAGTTCAAAGAATCTGAATTTCATTACCACTCTACATTTAAAGAAATCCTTGTAGTAAAAAGAGGAATTGAAAATTTTCAATTTCATCTGATAGGACATTTTTTCGTGGTTGAAATGGATCTTTCAACTTTTCCGAATATGCTCAAATTCAAAAACAAGATTCTTCCAAATCCACAGTTACTCAGGTGGGCAAGTTGGTTTCCACAATGGAATTTTGAATATAAACATATTTCTGGAAAGAATAATATCTTAGCTGACATGTTTTCTCAAAAGAAATATTCTGAAGATACTATGCTTCAAATAGTCCCCTTCTGCGGAGCCATAATAAGAATGGATGAGAATGAACCAAGAGATGTTCCTGATGAAATTTATGACATCATACTCACCAAGACAATGGAAGCACGAAATGAGACTATGCAACAAAAAATGCATGAAATATTAATCAGAAATTATGGAGAATGTTTCCAAGGAATTCGATGCCATCCTACATATCCTTTTTTATCCTTATTCCAGACCAGACACTATTATAACATGCCCAAAGAAGCACCAAACACCCACTGGAGTTATCATATCTTCATAGTCATAGTTTTACATGCTTTCGTAAGGTCTTTAAATGGCCACATAACCCCAACAATTATAACCACTTGGGGCATGCATGACATACATACACCGACCTGAGGGGGAATGTGGTGTGTGTGTGTGTGTGTGTATTTATGTTCTAAGGACACGTGTGGGATTTTTCTATTTCAATAGTACTGCTTTTTTTATTCTTTAGGACTGATTAGTCCTTTTGTAAATTTTAGGACAAAGTTGTCTTATTATGTGTAAAAATACATAAACCCTATGACAATCTTCTGCTCCCCCCAACTCGATCTCCTTTCCCTCTTATTCTGCGTGCTCTCTCTCTTCTCTTTTTCACTTGTTATTTTTTCCCTTCTTTCCTGGAGATCTAGACCCATAAACTTTCTAACCTCTCTATTGGTTGCATAGTCTAGAATATGACTTATATCAGATAGTCTAGAATATGACTTATATCAGAAACAAGTATACTATTACTTATTGTTGCATGTTTTTCTTTTATTTTGTTGAAGAGACCAAATACTTCTATTTTGGTTAGGAGACTGAAGCATGGTGCCACAAAATAAGGACTACTTATAATTCAAGCGATTTCTACAAAAAGAAACACGCATACGAATCCATGATTGGATAAGGAATTTTACTGCTAGTACATAAAAATGCATCATGGGACTTCTTAGTGGAGCAAATATGCCACGTTGTTTTTTGTATTCTATATATATGAAAGTCACATTTGAGTTAATAACCCTGCAATTGTTTTTTTTTCTTTTTTGACAATTGAAGCCTTGTATAGATTCTTATTCAGTGCCTGTGGTTGTTATGGGGCACCAAAACTTGTGTTTCATGGTAACAATGGGAACTATGTTTGAACCACATTTCCTGGTATAATGGATTTTCTGTGCAAAACAGGTATGGATCCTCTTGCAAAGAGATTTATGTGGGATGTTATTTCCCATTTGTCAACCAGACAGGGGAAAACAGCTGTTATTCTAACCACACATAGCATGAGTGAAGCTCAGGCACTTTGCACAAGGATTGGGATAATGGTGCATTTCCTTTTGCCAGTTCTCCGTTTATTTCAATTCATTACACACATTTCAAAAAGTAACATCAGAAGCTTACTTTCTTCTTAATCTTATTGTTGCTTAAAGGTTGGAGGCAGGCTTCGATGCATTGGGAGCCCACAACATCTGAAAACACGTTTTGGGAACTATCTTGAACTAGAGGTAGATTGCAAACACTTGAATGTTCTTGTTTTTTCTCTCCAAATTGATAGCCTATTTTGCTTATTTGCAGGTGAAGCCATCTGAGGTTTGCTCCTCTGAGCTGGACAATTTATGTCACAGAATTCAAGAAGCTCTTTTTGATTTCCCATGTCACCCGAGGGGTATACTTAGTGATTTTGAGATATGCATTGGCGGCAGTGATTCCATTTCTTCAGCGGATGTATCTGAGATCAGTTTGTCACAAGAAATGGTTATCAGCATTGGCCACCTGCTATCCAATGAACTGCGTGTACAAAAACTTTTATTAAACACCTCTCTTGCCAATGGTGCTTTCTGTGAGCAGTTATCGGAGCAGCTAACTCGTGATGGTATGGATGCCAAACTCCATCTTATAAATTGTGTGGCTTCTTTAGAATTAATGTCTACTGTTGAACTTCTCAGATTCATTCTTCTCCTAATATTAATAGGAGAAATTTCCAATCTTTTCTTTGAGAATCATTCAAAACATAGTTCTCAAAATCATTGTGAGTCATCCCTCGTGCATGGAATCAGTTCCCCAGTCATGAAGTTCACCTCTATGTGATGCACTGATGATGATATGGCGCATTCATCAATCAAATAAGTTGGGCTGTTCTCTCTCGTGAGAGAAGATTTTTTTTTTCCTGGGGCCTTTTTCCTTCACAATTGAACATAAAGACTGTCTCAAATTGAAGCATTTTCCCTTTACCTGATGCTTATGTGATTGCATTATATAAAAATGTGTGATTTGTTGCTAATATATGAATTTCTGTCTTATGTTGCAACTTAGAATTCTTTAGTTTCCTAATCATAAATCTTATAACATGTCAAAAATTCATCGAACTTTTTCCTGTTTCTTATCTATACATGAATAAATGTTGTTGAATTGATTTCCTTGCATTATTGCATGACATCGTTTAAAGCAAATGAAAGTCCATAGACTGTCACTGGATACCACTTAAAGCATATGAAACTCAATGCATCGTTTGCTCCAAAACATGATCAAGTTCATAAGTCATCTTTTTTATTTGTTGCTTGAACCCCAATTTAGTTGGGATTTATGTATTGTCAGTGACTAATTCTATAAGCCTTGACTCACAATGTTCTTTATTACAATTATGTTGTTTTATGGTCATTCATATCTAGTTTCTTTGTTGCATTTTGCAAGTTAAGTTGAAAAAAATGGTTAATTCTTTTTTAAGTATGACTGAAAACCTTCCATATTTTCTTTATTTCTTGAAAATTGATACACTTTGTGATAATAATTTCTTTTTATAATTGCATCATGAGATATATTTTTCCTTGTGAAAGATATATTTTCAGAATGAAATACTTGCTGATGGCTCTGATGTTTTGTTTTTACATTTTGTTTCTTTTTTTCTGATAAGTGTTTTATGTTAAAATTAAGGTGGTATTCCTTTGAGAATATTTGCTGAGTGGTGGTTGGCTGATGAAAAGTTCTCAGCTATTAATTCTTTTATTCTCTCATCATTTCATGGAGCAACATTTCAAGGATGCAATGGATTGAGTGTTAAATATCAGGCAAGTCATTAAATATCTTCCTATATTCATTTATATTATGCTTTATATCATGTTTCCGAGGGTCCTATCGTATTTAACCATCTGAAATAAGTTCATCATCCATATCATAATGCATGTGATGATTAGAAATAGGAATTGACCCTGTAAAAAAAAAAAAATTTTTTGGAGAGAGAAACTAGGACTACTTGGCTCTTTAACATGTTTAGTCTTACAGTTATCTTAGGATATTGATGTCTCTTGGTGCTGTAGAGAACTCGGTGTTAGTTTAGTCATTTTAGATTTTCTTTTAAGTAAAAGTATTTAGGTCGTTATGTTATGTCAAGTATATGCGAAAAGGTGGACAAGTCAGTCCTGTCCCTTGGTGTTCGTTTGTTTTGAGGAACCCTTGTGGAAAAAAAAACCTAGAAAGGGCTTTGCTTATTTCTTTGCTTAATTTCTATAGAGAAGCCTGGTAGCATCTCCTGAGGTCTCTTTCCTCCAAGGTATTCTTCAATTCTTTTCTTGTCTTATGCTCTTTTTTCCCCCTTTCCTAATTCTTTGGTTAAGCCCTTTTTTACCCTTCTCCTTTCCTGCCCTTTTTTACCTTTTCTCTCCTTATCCTTTTTCTCCTTTTCTCCTTAAATTCTCTTATCCCTTCTTTCTTTTTCCTTCTTCCATTTCTTCTCCTTAAATTCGTTTGTCCCCCCCCCCCCCCCCCGGGTAACTATTTTTCATTTCTCCCTTTATGTTTCCTCCTCCTTTCTGTCATTTTCTTGTTCCTTTATATTTTCCCCTTGTCACAACACCCCAAACAGAAAACACACCCCATTCAACAATCTATCAAAACCTTAAATTTTACTACCATAACCCAAAACCCTAGAGCATAATTGTGGGAGTCCTTTTGGTATTGACCTAAAGCTATTCTATTCTCCTTCTTCTGTTTGAGCTGTAGGCTAGCCTTAGGCTTGGTTCGAAACTGATTTTTCTTTGGCTGATTTTGTTGAAGGATACAAATTCCTAAACTGTATGTTCGACTTAATAATGGTTAATTAAGTCTGTTGGAAGATTAACGCTGAAATTGTAGTTTTTTCAACCTTCTTCAGATTTATATTATTCTCCAAAAATGTTTTTGGGCCATGTAACCGAAGATTACTGAGTGGCTGGTCTTATGTTACAATCTGATACGAAAGTCTGATTCAATTGTAAATTTTCAAATATTCACATTGTGTTAGTACAAGTTCCACTTGTTGATTTTATAACATATATATTACTGTGGGTTTCCAATATATGTTGTGTAGTGGTACAAATTCTGGTGTGTATTGGTACAGTTTTCATATAGGATGGGTATGACTTCTTATGAAACACCCCGTTAAATGTTTCATCCAACTTTGGGTAGTACTATGACTAACAAAGAGTTTCTAAGGAACCATGGTATGAATGATAATCAACTACGTGGATGCTGATAAAGACCATCCAGCTCTCTGATATACGTTATGTGTTCCTTTATACAGAGCATGTGTCAATATTCTAGAGAAGAACGAAGAATGAATTTCTGAAGAACAAAGATGCTAGAGAAGAACAAAGAATGAATTTCTGAAGAATTTGAGGGGGAAAAAAAAAATAATAACTAAAAAAGTCGTAGAAGGATTTTAAAAATGTTAAATGGTGCTGTGCTCATAATCTTCATGACCACTTATTCATAGCCACTTATCCAAATGTTGATAAATATCAAGAGATCATTTGCTGGTTAAAAGACACTTGACATCTTGGACTAGCAAGAAGGACAACTCCTAGATCTAGCCCAATGGCAGAATCATGTATGGAATCTTCTATGCTTGCATGGATCAGATTCCTTGTACGATACGTCAGAATATGCAGTCAACCATTATTTAGAAAAACAAAAGAAAAAAAAAATAAGAAGAAGAAGAAGAATATTAACAGGTACCAACCCATTTTTTAAAATTTTTGTCCTCAAATGATGTCGCTACCAAATGTATAAATTATACAATGCCCTTTATTATAGAAAAGGTGGAAAACATCATCAAACAAGTATGTTCGGTAAAGATTTGCTAGCTGACTGTCTCACCAAAGGCTCGGCGCAAATAAAACGAACTTATCTAAGCACTAATAAAGTAAATAAAATAAGTTTGTCTAAGTAAGCAGCGATGCATGGATGGTAATTTCAACTTGAGTGCTGTTAGAGATAATTAGTGTTTTTACTCTATTTGCTTTAACTTATTTTTTTTGGGGAAAATATGAAACTGACCCCCTAAAATCCCTTTCATTTCATGATAACCCCTCTCTTTTATTTTCTATTAGGGGCTATTTAAAAAAACTTGATAAGTTTCATTGAGCCTCCTCATTCTCTACCTCTTTTAAGTTTATATTATTTATTCTTTTAAATTAGCTGGACTATTTCCCTTAACCCGCATAGGTCCTATGTCTCTCTTTTCTCTTGACCGGGTAACCTACCCCATTCAACCCACTCCCAACCATCTCTCTCTCATCCCTTCTCGGCCGGCCACCCGGTTCCAGCTGGGGAACTCTCTCTCTCTCTCTCTCATATCAATCTTCAATATGAGAGAGAGAGAGACCCATACTACAATATGTGCTCCCACACTACAATGGGTCAGCGTACATGATTCTTTGGTATATTCCCTCTTTATATAGATCTTAACTTTTTTGTCTTTGATTCTAATTTAAAATTGTTCGCCTTTTGTAATTCCAATGGTGATTTCAGCTTCCATACCGAGAAGGCTCATCACTTGCTGATCTCTTTGGGCACATAGAGAGAAACAGGTGTGCTCCTGCATGCTTTACCACTCCCTCCAATCTAAGCACTATCTGGCTGTTTTATTTACCATGACGTTGAACTATGAATCCTTTTCTTCTCAGGTACAAACTAGGAATTGCAGAATATAGCATCAGTCAGTCAACTCTGGAGAGTATTTTCAATCACTTTGCTGCTAACCCATTGTAGTTGAAGGTAGGAAGGATTTAGCACCCAATTATTAATTCAGGATGTTTCAATTTATACTTCCATTTAGTTCTTACTTTATTTTGTGGTTGCGACTTCCACTTCTGTTCGAACTGATGTCCATTGCTGGATCGATTTTCCAGACGACTAAATCATTTCACAATTCACTGCGCAACTTCTAGAATCATGGGTTGATTCTCAGCAAGAATATCCGCTCTGAAAATGTCAAGGGAACAATTCAAGCTTGTGGTATCAAGTTCACATGAAGTAACATCATATGGTTTGTTCAGGAAAAAGGAAATTTAAATGGTATAGCCGGTACACCAAGGGAAACTATAATCCATTGGATCATGATCATCCATTAAAACAGATCATAATGTGGAGAGTGTGGGACCCAACATTGCATGGTGTCTTTTTGTGGTGGGTCCTACTGCACACCATCCATCATTTTGATGGACATTTCCGACCTCGATGAACATTTAGTTATGATCTGTTGGACTGTGCTATACTGCCTCTTAAACATAATCATTGATGAGTGGCTTCAAGCAATGCTTCAAGTATGTAACATAATTATGTAGTTGTTTTTAAGATTTTGCGAAACTTGAGATATAACTATAGATTTTTTGGTCTTAGCAATTTGTGAATGTGGAGTGGCTGATTGAAAAATTTTCCCTTTGTTAGCGAAGTCTTTTGTTTCTTTTTCGCCTTGTTATCTGATAAACAAAGAAATAAGGATTATTTTAGGTTTTGCAGATGATTCCCTTAGCAAGGAGTTGCGGTTCATATCTCTAAATATGTATTGATCGATGGATTAATGCCTACCTCATTTTTTAGGAAAATCTTGGTCATGATATGATCCTTGTTTTCACTTTGGACTGACCAGTCTGTTAGTAATGATAATCTCATTCTTGGGTCTCTCAGTTTTCTTTAAACACAGGCAGATCTAAACATTTGCATGTGGAAACCACATTTTGAGGGTTTTTCAACAACGAATTGCATGTGGAGACCACACTTTAGCTCCTGGCATCCATTGCCCCGGTCCAAATCGGGTATTTTCCTGTGGAGGGCTTCTGTGGCTGCTGCACCATGGATCATATGGACCGAGAGGAATAGTAGGATCTTCCGACGAGAAAGATCTTTGCCAGTCTCTCTCTTCGACTAGATTAAGTCCATGGTCATGTTTTGGGCAACAAATCACAAATACTTCGGAGGCCTTCCTCATTCAGCTCTCTTCCAAGACTGGGTAGCAACTGCATTTTCAAGACAGTTCTCATGCCTACCTTTGGGGGCCTCCAATCCCAGGACAGACCAAACCAAATTGAATTTTGATGGTTGCTCATTAGGCGACCTGGGTACCTCTGGGATTGGTGGACTCTTCAGGGACCATGAAGGTCATGCATTCTTGCGTCCTTCTCCAAACCCATTGGACACTCGGACTCGCACACGTCTGAGGCCCTCGCTTCTTGAAGGGCTCAAGCTCTTTAACCAACAGTGGAGTAGCACTCTAGTAGTTGAGGGGGAGTCCTTGAATGTCATTTGATGGGCTTCTGATTCCTCCACTCAACCTTGGTCGCTAGCCCATATCTTTGACGAAATCACTCAGTTAAGCAGGGATTTGGAAGTCTCAAGGAAGCCTACTTGGTGGGAGACCAATCAAGAAGCTGACTCACTTGCTAAAGACGCCGCTTCCGAAGCCCTACTTAACCATCCCCAGTCTTAATATACCATACTTTTGGAGATTTTTTGCCAAATTAAAGTTTCTCACCTGTATAGACAAAAAGCCTTGTATAGGGCTGCCCTCGTAAAGGGTAGTCTCATTTCGTTACCTTTGTAGAGCACTCCAACATGGTGGGAATTTTTGTATATAGAGCTCCCAGTTTGTGCTAAGCCTATTTTTTGATACGATTGTACTGCTCTCTTACTTAATAGAACACAGCAGTTAACATTTCAAAAAAATTGGATGTGGTCTCTGTTACTAGTGTCTGACATCATTTTTAAAGTCATGTAGTTGTTTATGTTAAGTGATTTAGCTATTAAGATTATTTATGAACTGGTATCTTTCATTCATGCGCAGTAACTATGGTTAGGATTCTTCACTGGGTGTTGCACATATTTACCTCTCTGTAATTAAATGGAACATCCGAATCTTTAGCAAATACATTTAACTTCGACACTAACACAATAAAAAACCCAAAGAAAGGGTAAAGTTTGGCAATGTAGACTGTTTAACTTTTAAGACGACAATTGTACATAATTTCATAATGGCGATTCTCTTTTTCTCCGAGTATGATTGTATATTACATTTACATCATACTGGCAATTTTACATGCCATCCCCATATTGTTAACCAAAGGTGTGGATGAGCCATTCCTTTGCTGGAGCAGACAATTCCCGGCTTGAATAGAACAATCATCTGCATTGTATTAATTTTTTCTTTTCTTTTGGATAGTTCAGTGGTAGGAATCGAACTCGAGATGCAGCGTTATCAGTTGCTAACAAATTTGAAGTTTGGTGGTAGTATTTGTTGTTAAAGGTGCTATTTTAAAATAATATTATTCCAAACTATGGTTTTATAAAGGATAAAGAGAGCGATGTATTTATATGAAAACATTCTATACTATTGTGCTCATAAAACTAAGAGCGATGTATTTATATGGAAACATTCTATACTATTGTGCTCATAAAACTAAGGGGTGGGTATGCTACTTATGCGGAGTATGAAGCATAGAACGCATGCACATATGCGAGGACACTTCAAGGCATATGCTGCACTTTCCAAAAAGGAGAATCAATAGAATTTTATTTCAAAACTTATCCTATAGAATACAAGTCGGGCATTATTCGAAGGGAATGCTCATACCAAAAGATTCCTCAAAAGCCTCGTGTCCAAGAAAACTTGACCATTGAAGAAATAAATATGGTCATCGAAGTGAAAGTGATTGACATTGAATACAATTGGTGAATGGACATTCTTGCTACACGTCATGTATCAAATAATTGAGACTTCAAGACATGAACCACTGGGTGATGAAAATTCAATTGAATTTGAGGGCGTATGTCATTGTGATAATGCTTGGTAAAGGTACATTAGAACTAACATTTAATTCTGACAAACAGTTCACTTCATAAAATATATTTCATATATCAGTTATGGGAAGGAATTTGTTGTCGAACTATATAAGAAAGATTTCAAGATGAGTCAAGTTGGATGGTTTAGGATCCAGAGTGGAATGTCAAACTCTTTAGCCCTAGGCATATGGCACAACTTTTGAGGGTTTGCATGGTTAGCTTTATTAAGGTTGCCGGTCTCTTGTGTGCAATTGGCGGCTTATGAGAGCAAGGGCCAAACCTCAACATTATTGATGCATAAAATGTACATATTGATAGGTTATAGAGTGGTCATGCAAGTACTTGTCACTCACTTGACCCCTTATACACCTTTTACATATAAATTGCATTAAAATTCCACCAATTATACCTTTTTATTTTTTTTTACAATATCATAGAGATTTTATTAACATCATGGAGAAATATAAATAAGTTACACAATTAAGTTGTTACTAACAATCAACTCTATCAAATCCACTCCACTAGGCGCCAAATTGTTGATTGAAGGACACTGGGAAAAAATTACAGAGATCCATAGCCTCCAGCCAAAAGGACTTTAGCCACCATGGAGGTGTGGAGACCTTTGTGCACCAGTTGATCACATTTTGGGAGTCTTCTTCAATAATACAAGCAATTGCTAATTGCCTCTGATGATTCAATTTTACGCCTTAAAGCATAGCATAGAACTCTGCTTGATTTCCCGATACCCAGCCAAATGGCCCAGCATACGAAAAAATAACAGCCACATTGCAATCTCTAGCAACTCCACCATATCCTGCTGGTCCCAGGTTCCTCCTTTGTGAACTACCATCAAAATTCAGTTTAATACTTCCCAATGACGGTGGCTGCCATTTAATTTTTAGGTGAACCTTAACCATGTTAAACTCAAAAATAAACCTCATATCACCTCTAAGAACCCCAACATGAATTTCCATTCAATTGAATAATGAGAGATTGCATGGTTACAACTCATTACATACTTAAACAAAATTCAGTTACGTACACTTGTGACGCATTGCATCAAACACTTTCAATATTACATCGAATTTCAACCAAATCAATATCTTACATTACTATTCATAAACTAACATAGTGATACATGTCATGAACCATGGGGAAGCCAATTGTAATTCTAATTACCTAAAATTAACTCTACGAGACTTAGCACACCCATACCTAATTTCCTAATTGATAGCACATGTTACACGGGCGATGAGCTTTCCACCAAATAGGAAGCCAAGAAGTACATTCCTTAATTTGCGACAAAAGAGGGCTCTGATCGATGTGAATAAAGTGGACTAGAATGCATGGATGGGGCTTGGAATATAGGACAGTGGGCAACCATAATGCTGTGGGAGATAGAAATATTATTATGTACACACCCAATTTGCGCCATTTACCCCAAAATGCCTTAATTTTAGGTGTTGAGAATGCTAAGTTTTTAATCTAATTTCGCTTTTACAGCATTTTTGCCTTTGATATGTTTGCCTTCTTAAAATCCGAAATTTTTACTTTGACAAAGAAAATTTTGACCATTAAAAATTTACCTCAAAAGTCCAAAAAAAGAAAAAAACAACATTGGATTCTCAAATCTGAAGTTCTTATTTGACCAAAAAAAGATGGTCCATCAAACTTCGGATTTTTAAACCAAAATTGTTACTCGAATTTTTTTTGTGTAGCAACAAAAAGCCTTCAAATTTTTAAAATTCAAAGTTTTTATGTTAAAAACAAAAAAACTTTGAATTTTAAAAGTCTGAACGTATTACTACTTTTCAACTTCAATCGATTCGAAGTTATTTTGCCCTCTTTAATGGTTCAATAATTATTTTGGTCTTTGAATGGACCTAAAGGGCTTTGATAAACTTGATATCTTCAAAATTATAAGTATGGGCATTTTCATCATTTTTTAAAAAGGCTAACAAATTGGGGTGGATGTAATCATCTAAAATAACGATGCGGATATACACATTAATTACTCAATATAATAATTTCTCTCGAACTTTTCTTTCATTGATTCACTTTTTTTCTTTCCTCTTCTTTACCCAGTACAATGATAATCCGGTGGGCAAATGCATTCATTAGAATTTTAGAAACATATATTATATTTAATGAGTCAAAACTCAAGACCCTAAAGGGGTTCTCAATTTTACCGAATAATTTTTATTTGAGTCATCTTTACAAATACAAAAACAAAAAAATTATATACGCTGGCAACCTTTCGTAGAAGTAAAGCTGCATAATCTACATCATCTATTATAGGACAATATGGATTTGGTATTATCTTACAAAATGTCAGACACAATTTAAAAATAAATGTTTTAAATCTACACCATTCAACTAAAATAGATAATAAAAAATACTATAAATTACTTCAACAAATAAGGTTGCCTCCTCATAAAAAATGCACCCATACAAAAATTGTTTCTATTTAGAGTTGAGGACCCAAAACAAAAACGCATTTAGTAACTTGGCTTACCTAAGAGGCCCTAACAAGACAATAATAGGGTAAATATTCTTGTTTGTTTATGATGGTTAAGTGTCAGTTTGGATGTATCCAAAATTACAATATTTTTTTATTGCAATTCAAAAATCTTGTGAAATAGATTTGAACCGTTTGGACAACCTCAAGATTTTTTTAGATTTTTTGATTGAAATAAAAAATATTGTAGTGTCAAGGCAAAAGTTACTATAAAAAAAAAAGCAAGTCGAATTTTTTTTTATGAAAATACAGCTCTCTCAACCCATGACCCAATAACTCCGTGAAACCTAAAAACCCAAAATCTACTATCTCTGAATAAACATACCATTTTCATTTTCTCTCACTAAAAAACCCAGAGAAGCTCAAGCCCCATCGATGGGAGCCTAGGTGGCATTTTGTAAAGCCATGAACATTTCTCTCTCTACAAAAGGCAAGCATTTTCTCTCAAACCACACCCATGAAAAGCCCATTCTCTTCATGAATAAAGAGAGGCTCAGGTTACAAAAAAAAACCAAAGAAGCTCAAGCTCCATCTATGGCAGCCCTATGCGACATCTTTGTAAACCAAGGCTCTTTTTCTCTCTAGGCGAGCCTTTTCTCTCATACCACACCCATGAGCTCGCGTTGTAAAAAACCAAAGAAGTTTAAGCACCATCCATGGCAACCCTGGGCGACATCTTTGTTAAGCCAATGCCTTTTTCTTTCTACAAAAGGCAAGTCTTTTCTCTCATACCACACACATGGGAAGCCCATTCTCTTCGTGAATAAGGAGAAGTTCGCCCATTCTCTTCATGAATAAGGAGAAGCTCGAGTTGCAAAAAACCAGAGAAGCTCAAACCCCATCCATCGTAGCCCTAATCAGTGTTTTTATAAGGCCAATGCTCTTTCTCTCTCCACAAAAGACGAGTGTTTTCTCTCATACCTGAGAAACTCCTCGTCTTGAAAGAGAAGCTAGGGTTGCAAGTTTGCTTATTGTATGGAAGCAAATGGTTTACGGCTACAAGAGATAAAGGAAAATCTTTTGGATTGGCAAGAGAATTTTGGAAAGGGTAGAATGCTGACTTTACTTTTAGTATGTTAACTCCATCCAAACAGTCCAACATAATAATTAAAAAAATGGCAATGTTTCTTAATTAAGGATGAAGAAACTAATGATTTTTTTCAATGCGAAGGTTTTTTTATTTGACATCCAAATTATTGAAATATCCTTTTCCATGGTTAACTTTTCTAAATGAGAATAATTTTTTTGAGGATGTACCTAAATAAAACCCTCAAGTATACTATCTATGCAACTTGACCCCAACTAACCTTTCTTCTCACTTTTTCCCGACAACCACATTTCCTCGCAAAAACCAAGGGAAAAAAATGTTTTTTTTATACTGAAATGCCCTTATCGTACAAAAAAAATGTCAATTGGCGGTCCCACGTAACGTATTACCGAAGCGACCAATTCAACCGCCGGAGTGATGTGGCTCCCGCCGGAGTGATGTGGCTCTAGAGGGTGTATTGTCGGAGAGCTTGTCTTCACTGCCGGAACACTTGTCTTCACTGCTGGAGCAACCTATTCAACCGTCGAAGTGTTGTGGCTCCAAAAAGTATACTGCCGGAGCGAGTCCTTGTATTACTGGAGCATGTGTCCTCATTGCTGAAGCGACCTATCCAACCATCGGAGTGCTTTGGCTCCAGAAGGTGTATTGTCGAAGCGAGTTCTTGCAATATCGATGTACATATCCTCATTTCAGGAGCATTTAAATCTTCATTGCTTAGAGCGTTTAAATGGACTGTCGGAGCATATGGGGAGAGAGTCGTGGGTAAAAGTTATAAGAAAAGAAAGAGGGGTAGTTTAGTTTTTTTATTTTTTTATTTTTAGATTGGAGGGTTTTTGCAAGACAAAGATTTTGTTGGGAAAAAAAGTGAGAAAAAAAATAAGCTAGCGCAGGTTGCATGAATAGGATGCTTGGGGGAGTTCTAGTAATTTTTCACTTATTTTCTCTCCCTGTCCTCTTTTTTGCCGATTTCGAATCATCACTCTCTCTCTCTAACGCTCAAAACATGAAGGGCGGGCTAACTACGATCTTCTTTCCCAATTGTATCACTTTCTGTTAAGAAGTCATGGCGTCCACTTCGTCAGTAGAGCAGCAGAAGAAGAAGGGCGTAGAAGAGGAAGAAGGAGGAGAGCCTCCTCCATCGTCAATGGCGACCACTGTGAAGATGGCAAAGGACTTCTCCTTGGATCATCACCTCCGTTACCATCTCTTCGGGGGTCTGAACAAGCATGGGAAGAGAGAGAGGGGCTCCACTGCCAAAGAAAGGATCAGCAAGATGCCTCCTTGTGCCGCTGGCAAACGCAGCTCCATTTACAGGGGAGTTACCAGGTTCCTCTCTCTCTCTCGAAATGGCGATTCATAATCTTGTTTTAATTTTCATTGGAGAAATCTTGTTTCTTCTCACTTAGCATGATGATCTCTGTGAAAATGATGTCTCTGTGTTAATAATCATTTTCTTTACTCTTTGTAGAGTATTCCTTTTTCTTCAGTCTTAGTAAGATGATCTTATTAGCTCTAGTCCTTTTGGTTTTCACTATATCCATTGAATGCTGGTTTTTCTGCAATAGACATAGATGGACTGGGCGCTATGAAGCTCACCTTTGGGATAAAAGTACATGGAACGAGAACCAGAACAAGAAGGGAAAGCAAGGTAATTTTTTTCCTAAGGTTTTGGTTGGTAATGTCTTTTACTCTTTAGTTTTCTCTTCTGGTCTGATATGAATTTTGGAGATCTTCTTCTTTCCTTCTTCATCTTTTTCACGTTCAAGTTACAGATATTCTTCCTTTCTTCATCTTTGTCCTTGTCAAGTTATTGGCTACTGATTCAGTTTCAATAGGTTTTACTGCTGTTCTCTTCTGATTTCTTAGTACTTGAATTACCCTTGAATTTCATCATTTCTGTCTTTGCTTCTTTTTTTCTTTTTTTTTCTTTCTTGCAACACATCATTTAGGACGAGTGGGTAATTGTGCATAAGCCCTGTATTACCCACTCACTCTTTTATTGCCGTGAGAGCGCTCAAACCATTCTTCAGACATCTTAAAAATATGCTAGAGACATTTGGGTCCTTTTCATCACTTAACGGGAAATTGGGAGCTTTGTTAAGTAATTTATTTAAATGTGACTATGATATTAAGCTGCTTCTTTGGTTATTGCGGTTTGATTTTCTCATATAATTATAGTTCTAGATCTCTCTTAGTTTTTCTGATTTATTTTCTCCTGCAGCCTTTTGGCTGACACTGATTGCTAGTTATGCTAAATTTATATTGAAGGATCTTTTACTGTTATGTATTGATATGTTTCCTTTCTTTTGATCCGGATGGTGATGGAACTTGGGGTCTCCATGATCTATTAACCTCCAGTTTACTTGGGTAACTCCCTTTTCTTCTGAGTAGTTGTGCTTCTTCAAGTCATTCCTTTTCTTTTCATTTGTTTTTTTTTTTTTTAATTGTGCTGAACTTGCTACTCTCTTTTCATATTTTCTCATTTTGTAAATTCTCAGGTGCATATGATGAGGAGGAAGCTGCTGCTAGGGCCTATGACCTTGCTGCTCTCAAATATTGGGGCCCTGGAACACTCATTAATTTCCCTGTGAGTGAAGTTTTCAAGTTCCCAGTAACTTTAATATTCAATCAAACTTATCTTATATATCCTCTAATACAAAACACACATGCTCGTGCACATGCATCAAGCTTATCGTTTATCTCCAGTACAACACTCTCACATAAATATTGACAACTATTACTTTTGATACCTCTACAACAGCTTCTGTACCAAAGCTAACAATTCATAATCCTGATGCAGGTTACTGATTATACAAGAGATGTTGAAGAGATGCAAATGTTTTCAAGAGAGGACTACCTCGCATCGCTTAGGAGGAAAGTATTCGTTTTGTTCTTATTCCTTGAGGAATTGCTTTGTTGTAGTAGTTGATTTTGAACCGCTTTTATGTTGCAGAAAAAGCAGTGGCTTCTCAAGAGGGGTTTCTAAATATCGTGGGCATCCTAAGTAAGTCTTTAACATTCACATTGCTTTGTATATTTTCTGCTGCAGCAATAAGGGGCCAAGAAGAGCATATATTCCATTTGTCGTAAATGTGAGCTATCCATGGCTGTTGTTGTGAAATGGTCAAGCTTGTGGATACTTAGTCTAGCTATTATTGCACACATTATTTAGAGGCTTTTAAATGCTAGATTTCCCTTAATATGTCTGCAAATGCATTGCAAACGCCTTGAAGTGGATCTGCCACTATACAGTATGGGATTGATTTTAAGGAACTGTCTGGCTAGCAATATGAGCCAATATGGAGAAACCTAGAATGAAAGGTTGGGATCAAGCTAGACAAACACATACTGTAAACATGTTATATATAAAATACCACGCACAGGTGGGGCATCCTCCAACCATGTCCATTATCAAGATGGATTGCAGTCGAATCGTAGTTCTGGAGAACTGTATATGATTGTTGATGCTTTCACAAATTAATTTTGAGAGTTTATTTTTAATAGTTTATTAGTCTTAATTTTTAAGATTTTAATTTCTTTTGAGTTTTCCAAGAACGATCAAAATTTTGAACTCCAAGAAGTTACCTCTTTTCAAAATTCTTAGAATGAGATTGACCGTTATCTATTTCATTAATTTTCTTGAATATCTTGTCCTATGTTTGATGGAATTTTCTGTTTGGGTGGTGTACCTATGTAGGAACACATACTGACACACATGCCGACACCGATTCTTTTGGATTCTTATTACTCTTCACTAATCATTGACTACATGATGTTAGAGATTGCATCTTGCTTTTTTGTTTGAGTAGCCATATTTGAACTTTGAAATATCTATAGGTTCAGCCACCTAAGCTATAATTATTTTTTTCCAACTAATCATCAAATGAAATATTAGTAAAATATTGTTGGATTTGGTTGTTGCTTTATAACACAGCCATGTAACCAAAGCTTATTCTTGACAAGATGAGGAATCTGACGCCCCCCTTCCCGTTTTTGACACTTATTTGTGTACCCGTCTCCATGCAGCACAGGTCTGTCCAATTGTAATCATGGCTAGCGTGATCCCTGTTGATGGAGCTAAGATTATTTTTGGAAAATAAGGATTCTCTCTCTCTCTCTCTCTCTCTCTCTCTCTCTCTACTACTACTACTACTACTACTACTACTACCTACTCCTCCTACCTACCTACTACTACACGTACGACGACTACTACTACTACTACTACTACTACTATACTATATACTTACTTCTTACTTACTTACTTACTTAC